TTTGTAACATTACTTTAATAAATAGATACTACATAAAATGAAACAGAATTAATAATTATTTTTCTATATATTCCGCATTTTTATCTTCATCACGTTAGGATTGTTACAACAAACAATACAGTTAAAAAAGATGACGCTGTTGGTAGTAAACTTTAAAGATCTGTAATTTTTTTTTGCCATTTCGTTTTCATGTTATTTTCATCGGTGTAGGTGGTCATTATTGCTCTTAGCTTAAAAAGGCTTTTAATGTTTCTATTTGTTTCGTTAAAGCTTAAAAGGTCAAAAGGTTCAAACGATTCCGTTATCCGCATTATGACTTAGCCGGTATTAACGTGTGTAATAAAATTTTAAGGACTCTGTAACATTCTACGGATATTATCCCAAAATTTATTTGTTCGATTAACAAAGGTAATACATTTAAATCTTATTTGGTTTGATTATTAATTACTACAATCGCACAAATGAATGGTAAAGTAAAAATATATTCAGAAGGGTTGTAAAATTCGATTTAAAAAGTTGTCTAAAATTTTAAAAATTTAGAAGCTTTCTAAGAACGTTAATTGGTAAGGATTACTTACGAAAACAATAAAAATAAAAGAATAACTTAGATCGGTGCAATCTTGTTATGATGTTTCAAATAGTTGAAACATCATAAGTACTGTAGTTTTCCTTCTAATAAAAATAAATAAGAAGAGAAACTAGTGGAGTAACCAAAAAATTATATACCCATTACCATGTTCAATAGAGAAATAATTTGTTTCGTAAGTTTTAAGCATCTCTATTTTGAATTGCGGAAAAGGTTTTTGGCAAGTAGAACGTTTTAGAAATAATTTTAGTAAATTTAAAAATCATTAGTTATGTGTGCTATTCAATAAATTCAATGAGAAAAATAATTGAACAAAAAACTCAGTTTCCCTAAAGACTTAGTATGTATATGCCTATTCAATATCGAGAAAATTGTTAATTAAACAGTAGGTGAAGCAAAATATTAATCTATGTGGAAAATTGCATCTCTATATCGTGTAATTAACTCAATTGGTTGCACATTATGAATGCATTGCAGCTAATCTAATTGGCACAAGATTCTACTTTAAATTAAGGGTTTTAAAAAAGTGCCTACGTAAATGTAATTGCCAGTATAATATAGCTATCATGAAACATCTGCTTAATAATTCAGAACAAGCATTTTAATTTTCCCTAAAGATACCTACAGTAGCTACTTACTGTATTATTGGCAAATGGATTGTCAAAAAATTCGACGTTTAGAAGATACACAAAATGATAATTAGTTTCAATATTCACATAACATTGACACTACAGTTTCACGGTGTAAGCATTTAGAATTTTCCCGACACCTCACAAGCTCGTGAAAACCTTTGGACTTGAGAGCATTCAGGGCTTTCAGCTTCCGTAGTACACGCGGTTGATAAATCGATAACGGCGTCGCAATGAAGTCACGTGAATTCAAGACGGCTGTGTCAGGAAAATTTAATCAAATGGTAAAAATATACTATCAAGAGAAATTATAAAAAAAGCTACCTTTTAGCCGTACGTATGGACTAATTTTAATGTTCATTGGGCGCTTTTATGTAAAATGGTACCTACATATGTACTGAATTCTGTAAGGGTTGATTATATATTGGGGTTATGAACCAAAAATAGAACAAGAGGTCGAATACTTTTCAAGTGATTTATATCATGGAATGCACTTTGTTTTATTGCATCAAATTACGGACCGGGTGAAATACAAGTAAGATAGGACGGGGTTATAATTATCAATATACTAGTTTTAATTATAAATTACTCTTTTGTTAATTTATATTAAGCAAGTATATAAATTGTAAAACACAATAAAAAAAGTTAAAGTTTAAAGACTAGGGGGTAAACAAGAGGAAAACACAGACGTAATTCAGTTGTAACTGGAATATTCATAAACATAAATTAAATTCTTAAAACAATAAGAAAGTAATTACTTCTTTTGCTTTATAAATACCTTCGATCTTTCAATAACTTTACGAGAACTTTTTTGTGTTTAATAATAATTCGGGGAAATACCTATTTGGCACCTCAAAGACCCTTAGAACCATGAAACTTGTTACTTTTTACATAATTATTACTTCCCAAGGCTTAATGCCGTTGAAGTCATATACTTTTGTTTATTATATCTATCTGATGTATAAACAAAGAATTCGTTGTAACTAATTTATTCAAAACAGGTAAAATACGCCCTTTAACCATAAACAACAATTGAAACGTATTCCTAGTAAATGTACTACATAAGGCTTTTAAGAACAAAATTGTATTTAAAATAATTTAATTAATTAATTAATAGATAGTGTATAAAATAATGAGCCATCTGTTGAATAATAGCAAAGCTTTCATTTTTTCAGATATATACATAATAATACACAAAAGGTCATATCGATGATTAATTGTTCTGCGATGTACACCATCAATTTGTATCAAACTCAATTTGTACGTATACAGAGGATGGGCTATGTAGTATCGCGAAAGCTGTGCTTGCGTCCAGGACTGTGTCCTTTGACCTGATTTTTCCATTACGATGGCAATCTTAAGCAGTATTGACCTTAAGGAACATGTGAGTACACAAATATTTTTAAGATTTTGATGTAAGGAATGTTTAATGTTTAATTTCAACTTAAGATTTTATTGTATTAAAAGGAGAATAACACAGTGAGCTTTTGATCCTTGGTTACAGCATTTAAATTAAATTAAAGATTACGAACTCAAACTTTTATTTTATTTTTACAATTTTGCAATAAACAGGTATCTGCAAGTGACTTTGAGAAACAATTAGAAAAATAAATGATTTTATTCGCTCATTAATTAACATCTGTATTAAAATTACATTATTTTTAGGGTATTGATGGCAATATGTTTATTTTGTAACATTACTAGTTTAAGTATGTGATTAGTTATATTTTTATTTGGATGTTGGTTAGCAATTCCTTTATTTTCTGAAAGAGAAGAATTTTTCAATTTGATTTCGGGCCTTGTAGGAGGAATGATGGGATTTCTTATTTTTCGAAAGACATTATATGGGTATAACATACGATCCTATTAATACAGTAGTAATATAAAAAAAGAGTTTTAACATTAAAAATTTCTTCTGTATTGTATTAAATTACGGCTTGTTCGTTCCTGTCGACCGAATGTAACAGGCAAAGGGTGGTACAACAGATAAGACAGCATAATTACGTAGAATGTTCCAAGGAGAGTGGAGATAACAAAGGTTTTTCATTTGTTTTGCAATAATATCACTTTTATGTTTTATACCTTTTATATTAGCAGCAACTAAATGTCATACAATAAAAATAAATAGTTTAATGGTAGATGTTAGAGAAAATGTAGTCACAGGATACTTTCATACTAATTTTACATTTATCTTGACCTTTAGGTTTTGATTTAGTCGTTTGATAGCATTGTGTTTTAATTATCGTAACAGTTGATTGATTTCTCTGTTAGAATTTAGTCCAAATTGAAAACAAAATTTTAATTGTTATAACTACATCAAACACCTCGTCCATATTTATTTGTGATTGTAATATAAAAATTAGTTTCCACAAGAAGTGAGCGAAATTATTTGGAAATTACAGAGGAATTTTCCAACATTAAGAATGGCTTTTGTCAAATGGTTTTTAAGAAAATAGCTTCAGCCGGTACCAATAAATTATTAAATTTGCAAGAGTTATAAAGATTGTAGGCAATATTTGTTTCTTATTGTTATAGAATAATCCAGGGTGAAATTGACAATCGTAATGGCATAATTTAGAAAATAATGGTAAAGTTAACTTCTCATTTTTCATAATTTGTCACACAATTGTTATCAGTTTATTTGTTGTTTTTGTAATAATTAAATATAATGTTATAATCCCGTTATCCTTGTATCATAATAATTATTTTGATATTCATCTTTTAATAAGTTTTGCTTTGTTTTTTCCAAATTGAACTTATTTCAATTATTCTTGATTTATTAATAACTTTCATTCACATCGTTAATTACAAAATTATGTTCTAAATTATGAATCAATATCAGGTTTGTCACCCTTTATGTTACTTTTACATTTCCTTTTAGTATTTTAGTTACATAGAATTTAATATTTTTCTAAGTTTAACTCAAGTACTTTGATTAATTTTTCAAATTCTACTCGTTATTTTAAAAATTATTTTTGATGAAGATTAATATAATTAACATTATCATAT